AAAAATTGAATATAAGTAGGAAGATACCTGATCCCTCTTGAAGTCTAGTTTCTTTGTCATCTTTAGATACATGAACAAGTTGAAGCACCAATGGTCTTCTTGTCACAACACCAGCTCCACGTGGGAGAAAGTCTCTACCAACTAAATTTTCTAAAACAGAGCTTTTTCCTGAGCTCTAAACAAACACAAAAAAATTAGAATGAAAATACAAAAAATTGAAAACTTCTAAAATGTGAAATATATCACTGAACATATTAGCAGTGACGGCAAAATGTTAACAGTAATTAAATAATGTAAAGCTCATTGTTAACTACAAAATATAGATTTAAAGTAAGAAAATTAATAAACATAATCACACTTTTAATTAACCATTCACTCATTATTTTAATCCTTTGTTTTTGTTTGCCAAATATACACTCATGGAGTATTTTATTCATTTTATTTTCAATTTTTCAACTTTTGAAATTTTTCATTCACATTTTTGTAAAAAAATATTTGTATGAAAAAAAAATTAAATAATTTCTGAAGTTTTATAATATTTTACACAACTGTCTAAAACAATTAAAAATCATTTCAATAAATTCTTAGTTTGCATCTGTCATTTATGAGATTTTTACAAAAATGTCTGCTTCAGGATGCGACAAAATTTGAAAAGAAAATTTATCATGGAAAAAAAATTATTGAGTATTTTAAAAAAAAAACAGAATATCGGAGTTAGAGATTTTTGCTGGAGTCAGAGTTGGACAGGAAAGCAATTCAAATTAATAATTTTTTCATTATTTTTTAATCAAATCAAACTTAAACAACTTTATGATTATGAATAAAAAGACTAAATATGTTTATATGATAACATATAGAAAAAATTTCTTATTGTTACATGTATCATGTATAAGAGTTCTTTAACAATTTAAGAATCAAAAGCTAAGAGTTGAATTTCTTTGTATTATACGTTTTTTCTTTATGTAATATTATATTTTATATTTCTTTTATTTTTATATACATTCAAATTGATGTTAAAATAATTACAAGTTATATTTGATA